CACTTTGAAGCATGTGTAATTCTTGCCCAGCCAAGCTGCCGAGGGAGGCAGAGCCATCAGCACAGTGGCTGAAGCCAGGCTAATCAGTCACTTAGATCAAGTCCTTCTCAAGACCTTCTTAATTAGCTCCCTCTCTGATTGAGATTGTAGAGGAAACAAATCACTGATGTTTTGAAATGTGATGGTTGTTGTCTTAATACTGCACAGTCAGGCTGTGGTTTCAGGAAGCTGTGCTGCAGTTCTGTCTATTAATGAGGGAGTGCAGGGTGGTGAGGCATTTGAGGTGGAAACGAGCTTAGGCTCTAAAGATAGCCAGTGCCCCACCATGTGCTATGACACCTTCTCAGCAGATTTCCTATTTTCTGTTTGTCTCTGCTCTCGTTGTTAATAATGTTTGCCTCGTGAGGAATGTGGCTGGCAGATTAAATGGACTGTTTGCCACTGGCAGTGCTGCACCCAGAATATGACATCCACTTTTGGGCCCCTCCCCAATTCAAGAAGGATGTTGAGATGCTGGAGAGGACACAGTGACAGGCTACCAAGATGTTCAGTGACCCAAAGCATATAACCGAAAAGGACACTTTGGGGGATCTGGCCTTATTTAGTCTGGTGACAACAGGGGTAACTGGGAATCTAAGAGCAGTCTACAACTACTTGAAGGGGACTTACAAAGAAAGTGAATCCTAACTCTCCCTCCAGTAGTGACAAATGATGGACACGTTGAAGGCCAGGAGTCTTACAGAGGCCACTAGGAAAAAACATCTCTGCTGGGAGGGTAGTACGCACTGGGACAGGTCACCCAGAGAGGCTCTGAGCCCTCCATCCCCAGAGGTATTGAAGCCTTAGCTAGCCAAAACCACGGCCAACGTAGTCTTTGTGACCTTCAGCAGCAGGGTGGCCCAGCTGACCTCCAGGGCCCCTTCCAACAACATGGTCGTGACGGTGAGCAGTTATTTTCTAAACGTATGCACTTCCTAAGTGTAATTTATAGTGCTGATTTCCTCACCCAAGTTTGTCTTCAAAGGCCAGCTTCCTGGCCCCAGTGAAAACCATGGATGAGACCACGCAGGTTTGGGGACTGCTGGAAGTGTTTAACTCAAAGCCATTGTTAGCGAATTCACATGAAGGTGGGCAAGCCCGTGGCTCATCAGAGAGCTGGAGTTTATGTCATTTGACTGACTCTAAAACACCTTTGCATGAGGTGGGACGATGTTCCTGAGCATGCGACAGGTCTTAAATTGACAGCCCTCATCCTTGCTGGCTGGGAACTTGGGAAGGAAGGGAGCAAGAGGGATGTTGTCAGATGAATTTATCTTTCCTGCTCCGTAGCAGTGGATAATTTTGAGTCTTCTGCTTGTCCTGCCACAATAACCCTTGTGAGAAAGCAAAGCTATGCAGACAAAAATCCCACCCTCAGCCCTTAAAGCATGAGCCAGAAATAACGCACACAGAGAGGAATTTTCTTTCTTCAATTTAATTGAAGTTACTTAGAAAAATAATCAGGCTTGAATGGCTTTTTTAAGGAAAGATTCATGAGCAGTTCACACTTGTGTTGGCAATGTATAATTTAGCTTTTTTCTTTATTAACAGTATATTTAGGTATGAGGAGATACTTTTCTACAACAAGCCTTCTACTGCATACAAATAGGTTAAAAAAAAATCCAACCCCACATCGATGTTAAATTATTCGTACACATTGTATTGTGCATGCATGTAAGAAAATAACACTCTCTGTAACAAGAGTAATAGTAAGGACAGTCCCTTTTTGTACCTGAAAAGTGCAGCAGACTACAGTGAAACCCTAAAACATCTGGGGTCAACTTACTTCTAAAAGCACTTCTGCTTGTGGATAATTTATTTCACTTGCCTTACGCAGCGCATGGTTCAGGCAGGTTGCACGTTTCTGTGATAATAGACACGGTTTGTGAAGAGGCTGAAGCATGGACCAAGTCAGGTTTGGGGGGACCTCCCACCGCCCAGGAGTCACCACTGTGTTCAGATGGGCCAAATCCAGCCTGGGCTCCAGGTTAGGGTGCTTGGGGCCACCGGGGGGGGAACGAGCCCCCAGCTGTGGGTATCACGCCGGCTAAGGAGCCGCGGGCGCTGCTGGGCTCAGCGCTGGCCGGGCCAAATGACGGAGATGGGAATCACCGTTCCTCAAGCCCAGCGGCTTTGAGGGGGCTGGGAGCAGAGGTGGGGAGCGGGACCTTCCCCGCTGGCTCCTCTCTGCGCTCACCGCTGCTCAGCTAATACGCACCCTCCTAAAACAGCAGCTCCCCGGGTGGCCCTCGCGGGAACATCTGTACTTTGAATTTTGCTGTGGCTGCAGTTTTGCCTGTTTGTCTCCCGGGAGCGGCTGCGCCCGCAGCGAACATGAAGCTGGGAGGGAGGCAGGGCTCGGGAGCAGACCAGCCCCTCCGTTCCTCTGGCTGGGAAACCCAGTGAAGAGATGGGCTAAAACCAGCCCGGTTCCCCGGCTGCCCCCGCACTGCAGGTGCTGGCTGCCAGCTCGCTGGGATGAGGAGGAACGACCCGGAACATCCTCCTGTGTGGGGGCAGCGGAAAGAGGCGTTTTTGGGCTCGGTCAAAACACCACACCCAGGAGACCAAAAAAAAAAAGGCTATTCCTTAACATTTGTGGTTCTCCTCTGTCTTGGGGAGGGCTTCGTGCTCAACGTGCAGGACACGATCATACCCAGCATGTCAGCTGTTCATTTTAAACACAGACCTATAGCCCTTTCACAGCACCCCAAAACAGACATAACACCCCCTAAATGGACAGTTTGTAGCAGTTTGGGATCAAGGTTTTTAAAAAGCAAGTGACTTAAGACCACATAAAAGCCATCTCAGCGCTGAGCATCCACCCGTAGGGCAGCCCTCTGTGGGGAGGCAGAATTTGGGTAATCAAACCCAAAGCTGCTGCTAAAAATCCCGGCTCGAGCAGCACTCACCGCTCAGACTTCCTGAACGTGTTTTTCTTCTAAAGCTTTTCTTTTTTCTTTTTTTCTCTTTTCTTTTCTTTTTTCAGTGATACAGCTGTCAAAGAGGGTTTTTGTGTCTCCAGAGCAGTGAAACTAAAGACAGTATTTCAGAACAGACAAAAACGTGGTGATGACAGAGAAAAGTACAAAAAGAAAGGGGGAAGCACATCCCATTTTTTAAATATTTACTTTCTGAAGCAACTTTTTTCTTAAATGAAAAAATTCACATCACAATCTGTTGGAGGGATTAACAGCTAACTGAAGAGAAAATTGGACCAAAACATGAGCACTGTTGGATACAAGACCAAACAAACACACAAATAGCTTGCAGGAAACATGGGAGGGGGAGAGGGGAAATCTACCCTCAGACAGGTTCATTTTTTTTTAACAAACATATAACCATTGAACTACGAACAAAAGAAAGCCAGGGCACACTGTGATAGGCACTTGCAACAGCTCTGCATACTCTAAATGAGACAAAACTGCTTTCAAGTAAAACACACCAGCCAGCGATCAGCAGCCACTCAGGAATTCTGAGCTGTCAGGCGCAGACGGCCGGCTCTTCGCTAGCCGCTGGGTCAGCGCTCCGGGTTGTCAATAGGACCTGGGTTATGAAAACTGCGGCTGTTCCAGAAATGGATGAGAGATTTATTTGTAGGGTATGATAAAAAAAATAATGACCTGAATCCTGGCTAAGAACAAATCCAATTTTGAAAGGACTTCAGCTGCTGTTTGTTATCTTAATTTGTTCTTCGCTGAGATTTATTCAGCGACTTATTTTTATAAAATAAGACAGAACTTATTTTTCTTCTTTAACCACATACATGTCCTGGAGACTAATGTAATTCAGAGGGTATTATCGGCTACTGTACAAGACGACATTTTCAGGATCTGGCTCTGATACTGTTAAAACAGCTCTGCCTTCAGCTGAGTTTATTTAATTCTTCACTAATTTTTTGAAGAGTTGGGTTTGCTCGTAAGATTGACAGGCAGGCAAGTCAAAACCCCATTTTAACAATCGTTCAACTTTAAACCAGATTTTAGGTTCCCGCGAGTGCCTCCACTTAAGCCTCTGCCTCCTCCTGCCCATCAGCGGGCTGCCGGCGCTGCCGCCCCGGGACGGGACAGCTGGAAGTGGCCACACAGCATTCCCCGGGCAGGCGCCTGCCGCCCGCTTGGCCGAACGCCTCACCTGCACCAAATTGCAGCAACATTTGGAGAAGCCTCTACTTCTGCCCACTGAGCTTGCCAATAGATCCACACCGAAATCTCATTTTTCATTATTTATTTGCCGCGAAGAGATTACTACTTGCTTGCCCAAAACAATCACTCGGTGTGCTATGCCTGGTACAATCTGCCGTCCCAACAAGCTGTCATACACCAAACAACTGCTACTGAGATGATCACCTTAAATAAAAAAGCCATGGTCTCACACTAGAGCTGACTTAGATGAAATACTAACCCACTAGAAATTAGAAACATCCCTGTCAATGGTACTTAGGCATCAACCAAAAAAAGACGACTTCCCCTTCCCCCTAGGAAAAGCATGTAGGAAGATGAGAGACCTTTTTTATTGCCTCGCATGCTTAGAGATCAACACCAAGATGACTTTCTAACTTTTCAAATTACATGCCAACATCCTTTATAGCAACATACCATGACCGGTGGTTTTTCCGCCCATTTTGGTTGCCCATCTTAAGATCAATCAGGGAGGCATGACCTGCAGAGGATGGAGCTCCCCGCACCCCCATCCTGGATATGAATTAAGTCAAGGCCAATTGCTCTGGGCATTCAAGAATCTCTACAGTCGCTTTCAAAATGCTGATTTTTTTCTGATGGACCATCCGCAAATCCACATTCATTTGGGCTGGCAGGCTTTAAATTAAGAGACAATGGGACTGGTCATATTCTTGATAAAATCATTAAGTCCAGACTTATAAAAAGTTCATGGTTTCTCTTCCCAAGGAATACATTCACATTTCCTTCAGTCATGGGTTTTAGATATCATGACTCTTATCAAAATATGTTTTACTTTTCCCTTTCAGGGCTAGAAAGATAGATTTTTTTTTTAGGACGCTTAAGTGCACTATCACTTTCTGAAGAAATTATTTCCACCACTCTTCTCAAAGCGTGTGGTATCAAGAACCATTCCCGTATTTACCTGCATCTACGGCTAATGGAAGAATATTATTACCCAGAGACAAGCTCAACTAAGGAAAGCACAAAACCAGACTCCTTTTGTCCAAATGTTATCTTATCTCTGCTGCTGAAGTGACACCTACCAAGAGACCATGTTTTAAATAAGTATAAATAACATTAATTAGAATTGGAGGAATGCAAGATCAATGAAATTCACCAGAACACAATTAACATTTTTTTAAACAGTGTAGCAGTATTATTCATTTCTACAGCTAGATCGTCACAATCCTGTTACCCTGCAAAGAGAGCTGTCCTTTCTTACAGTTGATTTAAATAATTTTGACTGTGCTGCTCGCAGCATCATTCAAAAAAAGAAAATATTAATTTACAAAATAACCCATTCTCCATATTTATTATGACAAATAAAAATCTTAAATAAAACAGGCTTTCTCTCCCCTCTCTCCCCCCGACCCATCCCTCATTCCAATTTCAGGTAGCTTGGCACTGAGTAATTGAACATTAAAAAATCAAGTTTGTAGACTTCATACAGCTGCGTTTGGTGCTCGGAGCTGATGTTCTGGAAGAACTCTGTGGTCATTTCGTCAGTAGTTCTCGTAGACTTTGCATAGGTGGGGAACTTCAGGTAGTTGCCTACTCCCGCCAGCTGGAGAATGTAATTCGAATCCTCTTCGAGCGTTTCGTATTTTCCTACGAGGTCGTAGTGGATGTGGCAAGGGTGGCAGAGGGAGTACACAGTCTGCCAGTGCTCATTGAAGGGCTCTTCTCTTTGGGTGTGCGGGTCGATGAGATACGCCACAAACTCTTCAAATTTCACGTCATCGCCTTTGCGCAGAGCTTCCTGGGTTGCGTTTTTCCTCTGGCGCCTCACGATTTTGGTGCCGTATCGCTTGTGGAAGGAAGTGTTGTACTTCTGGGTGAACTTGTTCCTGTAGGCCGACACCAGTCTCTCGAAAGGCTCGCGAACAAAGAGGAACTTCATGTAGTTTTTCAAGCGGTGGTTGATCTCTGGGATGCTGTACTGGTTGAGGGTCTTCAGGTTCGAAGACACATGGGCTTCGTTGGCTGGGATTTCCATCGGATCGCTGTACTTGCCTCTTCCTGTCAAAACCATCATGACTCTCTTCCAGTTTGTGCAGGCCACTTTGGGAACATAGCAATAGATCATTTCATGATCTTCATCCACGACCAGGTGTTTGAGATCGTTGGGTGTCAGCACACGGCGCTTCCTGCTAGATACACTGTTTGCTCGGCACGTGTCTGTCACTTGGTCTCGTCTAATCTGATGAAGAATTGCTGTGTTGGACAACTGCAAAGAAAGCACAGGCACCAGTAAGTCAAGCGGCTAGGAAACTCTTACTGCCTTTTTGCTTATTATACAAATTCATAGAAAAGTAGACCACTGCCTGTATAGAACAGTTCATTATGTTGCTGAGTAAAATTGTTCCTGGGCTTCAAGATAAACTCTTTTTGTCTCCAAACTTCTTGACACGTGCTGCTTAAATGCCGTTCACAAAGAAGTGTCCAGGGCTTTGCTCTGAAGCCAACATGAAGGAGCACAAGCGCTCACACAGCCTGGTGGCAGCCTCATCCTGAGATGCGGCCACTGCTTTTCTTAGTCCTGGAAAACATCTTCCCTCCACTCTGCAGTCCATCCCATGGCTACAGCAGTGCTGGACCCTGCCTGACCTTTTGTTGTTGAGGTGGGGTAGGAAGATACCTGTTGCGATTTAACCCGGCAGGCAGCCAAA